TATTGCACAGTTTCAGTCTGAACTGTTCGTGAAGAAAAGAAGCGAGGCCTAAAAGGATTGATATGCATGAATAAACCCTGCAGTGTAAAAGATACTGTCACTGGGTGTCACTGGGATAATGTGGCTGCAAATTAAGTCATCTTACAGAAGATGAGTGGCATAAGTGTGGGATTTAGTGTTCCACTGCTGCCCCCTACTGTTGACAAGACGAACTTGACAGAATAATCAAGGTTATCATTTTTGCTTTAGTGCAAAATTTCTTTTCAGCAAATTCTTTTGTGGTATATTTTTTTAAACTATGGTGTATATTGACTTCTTTAGCAGACTGTAGTCCAAAAAAATGTACATATGCTCCTCAGATACTTCCACCACAACCTGAAGTTGATCTAAGATGATTTGAGGCATGTTACGTGGAACATCAGTGTGTACCCAACAGAAGATGTAATCACTGTGGTCATTATTAAGGCACGGTCATGGTTAGCAACAACACCCAGGCATGCTGTAGTGTTTAAATGATCATCTGCACCATTCGGCCACTAGCAGCAGGCTGAAGTGTTGATGCAAGGATCCACGCTTTTGTGTTTATGATTGAAACTTTTCTTCCAGTGGCCTGTTGGCCGATTCGGATGAGCCTGTGTCAGCAGTACCCTCGGTTTGAAAGTCTTAGCCAGCAGGAGTGGCACCAGGTGTGGTTTTCTACTGATGTAGCCCATCCGCTTCAACGTTGTGTTGTTCAGAGATGCTCTTCTGCATTCCTTAGTTATAACGAGTGGTTCTTTGAGTTATCTGTAAACTTTCCATCAGCTCGAAGCAGTCTGGCAATCTGACCTCTGCCATCAGGAACTGCTCACTGGATTTTTTTTTTTTTGTTGGCGTGTGGGAAAATCCCAGTCTGAAATAATCAGACCAGCCCATCCAGCACCAACGTGCCGTGTTCAGAGAACCTTAAATCACCTTTCTTCCTCATTCTGATGGACTTGATCACGTCAACGTGGCTAAACTCACCGAGTTGTGACATGTGTACCTATTAAAAGGGCCAATCAGTGAAGGGTAAGTTATATCATTATTACGCAACTTATAATTATGCAACAGTGGTTACACTGCAGGGCACAAAAATTCACTGTCTGGAGTTTCTGGAAGTTTTTGTTATACAACTGGTGTCCCAAACCAGTTTTATCACTAATCCTGGCAGGAAAAACACCTGCTTGCCAGAAATGTGAGGTGAGCAGAGGGAAACCATCTCTGTCATTCAAAAGAACATGAGAGAAATAACTTTTACACATACACTGCCCGTACCGTCAAGGTCAAACATCCAAGTGAGGTAACAGCAAGCAAATCAAGTTCCTGAGCAGAGGGGGGCTTTAATATTCATGTTGTGCAGCTGAGCGGTGATCAAATGAGACTGCTTTGATTAGAATATTTTACACCACCTGTGCATGTGACACAAGTATTTAGGTCAGAGTCAGTGTTGGAGCTACAACAAAGACACTAAAATGAGACAGGCAAACTGAAAAAACACCCAGCAACAGCAGTTTTGAGATCAGATGATCGCAAAGGGTAACGTTTTAAAAAAGTCTGAACCATGAAATAACTGCCAGAAATGTACATTTTTTAAACCTTCTTTCAAATGAAATAAAAAAGAAATGAACTAATAAATCTTTTTTTTTTCTCCAATTTATTGCTTTAAAATGTATTGTGCAATTTATTTAGGTTTTTCAGGAGGAAAGAAAATCCACAGTGATGATGCAGAGGTCTCGAACACTCACAAAAACTCATGTATCAAATATGATACTCTTGGCATTACAGGGTTAAGGCTTTACATAACAATTTTTTTGACTGCACACTGAATGAAATTCAGCGCGATAAACTCATGAACAAAAACAACACGTTCGTGTCCAAACTTGCGCAGCAACGACTCTGAAAAATGCCACAGAGCTTGTTTCTTATGACATGATTACATTCACCCCCCATGATCCTCGGCCACAAACAGAAACGGCGCGCATGCTGTCTCGTGGTGTGTGGTGTGCCGGCACTAGAGCAACTTATTGACGGTACACTACGATATCCTTTGAAAAAGGGCGCCGGGAGAAAAGCTGCTGTGTCTGATTATTAATAGTGAAATGTGTTGTGACATCAATAAAAGGAAACACCGTTGAACTCACAAAGAGTCTATTCATTCGCTCACGACCGTGTCGGAGACACAAATATAAAAGCTGAGCAACCAGTCCAGCTGCCTGCTGCTGGTGTGCGCCTCTGAAAGTTTCCCAGCCATCGAGGCTAAATACTCCACTTCAAAAGGAGAAATTCAATTCGTTAAACTCCACTTGAGATCTTTGTTGTTTAAGGATGCTGTAGCATTTTTAAATAGGAGTTAGAGTGAAGTGAAGTCATCCTTTAAGAAATGTAACACCACTTTTGTAGACTGTACCCTCTATTGAAGGTTTGGACATTTTAACCATGGTTTTGGTTAGCAGATGATTACAAATGAAGATGAATTAAAAAAAAAAAAAGGTTAATCGACTGGGAAAACGCAGTGCAGATATGAATGCGAGTAATGCATTCCTTATACTAAATGGAGTTTGTCCTCTAAGGCTTTTTTTTCTAGAAAGGAAGTGTGTGGATTTTTCACTTCCAGTCAACCCACACTGGGTGGAGTGAGTTGGCCCCGTAGAATGTCAGCAAATCTTACATTAACCATTGATAAAACCATTAGTCACAAGTTATGAACCCCACATAAAGACATACCAGGCAACCATGACAGGCGTACATCACAATAATATCACAATATGGCTTTAATAACCTCATTTAATTCAATTACAGTCATATCGATTGTCCATTCATTTAAAAAAAAACAACACACATTTGAAAAACTAAACAAAACAAACAAACTGAAAGTTACAAGCTCCATCACAAGAGTTGGAAACCGTGATGTAATTATATTTTTATTTTATTAAATAAGTTAGCTATGACTTGATGAAAGCAGATTTTATTTGCTTTGAACAAAAACACAATTACTGTATCACAGTCATGTACTGCATATTTATCTGAAAAGCTGATCAGCAAACAAAAATAATCAGTGAGTAGAGACTAATTTGTGACTAACTGTAAGTAATGAGTAATGAGCCGAGTGAATAACCTCAGTCTGTGATCTGCTAAGTAAAGTGCTGATGCTAGGTTTTACTTTTAGCTCGTGTGTCATGTCTACATTCAATTATGTTTCCTGTTTTATTTTGAAAATCTTGTGTTTCCATGTTCAGTGTGTTTAGTTTTGCTTCCCCTGTGACTCTATGTTCATTTGTGTCAGCTATGTTTCCGCTTCCCTCATTATCCTTCTGTGTGTTTTAGTCGTCTGTTCAGTGCGGGTCCGTCTGTTGTCTTCATTTCAAGTCACAGAGTCTTGTTTTCAACTGCTCAGGTTAATGTACATGCTCATGTTTGGATTACTTCAGTGTTCAGTTATATGTTCTTGTCTCTTTTCATTGTTTTCATAGTTAATCTTAGTTTCCCCTCGCCTTGTTTTTTCTGTTTTGTGTATCAGCTGTAATAAAGGTTCGCTTTGTGTTTAAACCTCAGTTCATGTCTCCCGTGTCTGCATTTGGGTCTGCTTCACAAACACACCTGCTTCTGTCAGCTACTCTGACAGAACGGACCCTGAACAGAGGAAGACAAAGGACTAAAATACACAGAAGGATAATGAGGGAAGTGGAAACACCTGGGGAAACACACCTGACACAATTAAACATGATGCCACAGGGGAAGCAAAACTAAACATCCTGAACACGGAAACAAAAGACTTTCAAAATAAAACAGGAAACATAATAGAACATAGACATGACACACAAACTTTACAATGTGGACACATAAAGATGAAACACATGACAGACTAGACAGGAAACATGATATATAAACCAAGGGGTATGGAAATATTAACTAAAATTCATCTCAGATAAACTAATAATAATAATAGAACTTAACACTATTTCAATATAACATAAGAACTCAAAAATATAACAGAAGTGAAAATGGAGACCCAGCCCCCTGACAGTTATAGAAACTCTTAAATCTCTGTCAGAAACTCAAAAACACAGTGAAAAAACCCTGAAAAACAGGGTGACCAGACGTCCCTCTTTATGTGCGACTTTATTCCTTGTACCCCTCCCCTACATCTTGAGACAATGCCACACATTTTGACTAGTACTGCTGGCTGTGCACTTTTCTGAAGTCTGGCATTTGAAGCAGAAGGGAAGTTTTTTTCTGATAGTCAGAAGGTTAACGCACCTAATGATATACTCACAAGTGGCTTCAAGTCGAGTAAAAGCTTTGCAGATTTTGGTGAATACGATGGAAACTACCTTGAATGAAATGAAGCAGCGATATATTCCGAGTAACAGAGTTTGCATGTACATCCTACAATCTGATAACGTGCAAAATTTGGTGTATTTGCATTTTTAAAGTAGACACGAAAATTTCAGACTACTTCCCAGCATCTCACTTTGTCTTCACATTTACTTTGCTGGGAATTTGGTCACTCTACCTTGAAATAATTCCAACATTACAGATTGGATAGAGACAGATGCCTCCATTTACAAAGCCTTACTTCACTTTCCAGATCTGCTTAAATAAATTAATCTTCACACGCTGCCTCAGGGCGGATTTGTCCTTTAAAGTGGGAACAACACAAACACAAAATGCAATCAGTCTTAACAAGTGTTATCAAGTGAATTCCAGAAAGTTCTCCTTTAAGCCTTTAATCAGTCACCAGAACGAACAAGTCAACAATGTCTCACATGCATCCTTCTTGTCCTTCTTATCATCTGTGTTGTCTTTACTCATTTCCTGAAATTTGATGGGTTAGCTTCCATGCATTTTTTTTTGAAGTGTGTAAAAACTCCTAAAAAGGGAGATTCTTTCAAGTGAAATGGAATTAGAAATGTTGCTGTGAGTTTAAAATAGAAAATAGAGGATGCTTTGATTGCAGCATGTGCTACTGCAGAGTCATCTCACACCATAAGCATCTTCCTTCTCACATATTTTCCTCTTGGACTCTTGCACTTGCAATAGACCTTTCGACCGGAGCTGCTTCTCACTGATCCCTTCTTCACTTTCACACTGCTGGCTGTGCTCTCTGACAACGTATTTCCTCCCGATTTCTCCTGTGTCTCCTCTTTCTCGAGGTTGTGGAGGTTCTCGCAGTCACAGTAGTAGATTTTGTCCTCGTCATTTGAGCAAAACCACTTTCGAGAGCTGTAAAGAAGCTCAAAAAAGCTGGAAAATGCTGATATCACCCCTACAATAAAGTAGAAGAAGAGAAAGATTGTCTTCTCTGCAGGCCGGGAGGTGTAGCACTTCACTGTCAGGGGGCAGGGAGAACGACTACATTCAAAATAGGCTTTTACCTCAAAGCCGTAGAGATACCACTGGGTAAATAGAAAGACAATTTCTGCCACCAAGCGGAAGATCACAGTGATAATGTAAAGCCTCCTTAAAGCTTTTTCTTCTCTGTTCTCGCTGCTCCACCTTTTACTCGATGGGGGGGGATTAGCACTCTTTTTATGCTGGTGTGTGGCGTACACGAGGAAAAGCAGAGAAGGTGTAGCAATGAGGACTATATGAAACACCCAGAATCTGTACTGGGAGATGGGGAAAGCTAAGTCATAACACACCTGCTTACATCCTGGCTGGAGGGTGTTACAGATAAATTCCGCCTGCTCGTCCTCAAACATGTCACTGGCCACAGTTCCCAGGATCACTATCCTAAACACCAGCATGAGGAAGAGCCAGAAACGACCCAGCATCGGCGACTCAGTCTGGAGGGCATCGAAGAATCCACCGATGAAGCCCCACTCACCCATGACTGCAGCACTGTCAGGTCTGGCTTCTTTTAAGTCTGGAGGCTTGTTCACCTGTCTGTCTCAGAGCAAAGGCTGCCTTTGTTTAAAAACACTAAACTAAAATTCTTGTTATAATCTCCCATATATGACTCACAGTGAAACTAAACCCAATAAAAGTGATCAAAAGAAGTGGGTTCATAGTTTTTGCACTTTAGGTTGATTGAGTTCATATTCCTGCAAAGACAATAATTCAAGGACATCACTAAAGGAATCAAACAATATCACCAGCCCACAATAAATCTCTATATTTCTTTTGCTTTCAGTTAGCGTAATATTTCAAAGAACTAGGAAGCTGACAAACTTAAATTGTAGAGTATAATAATGCAGTTTTGCAGAATACAGGATTTGTAAATGATTTTGATTACTAAAGGCTGACTCTCATTGACATATACAGGCTGGTTGAACTGCTCAGTCAGAGACACATGTGCTGCCACAATAAAAAAGAGCACACATTTGATTTAGGATTTAATCTGCAGTATCTAGACAAATGAATGACCTACACCCCTTAAAAAGCCTTAAAATTCTCCTACCATGTATAAGCTCAGATAAACCAGATAAAAAATGGTCAATTCTCATGCCCACACGATCTTATAGTGTACTCACCCTTAGCTCTCTCCAAAGTGCCATGTTCCTCAGGCTGGCTGGCACTTATGATTGAAAGGGCGGCAACAGTTGTCAGGAAATTCCTGCTACGTCCTAATCAGTGTCCATCCAGCCCCAGACAGAAGGTGTTTATCCAAGAAAGGCAAACTCTTGATGAGCATTTCCTAAATGGCAGGAAATATCTCTTTTAAGTTGGTCCACCAGTTTCCCTGGTAACCGCATGAGAGGCTGCATGTAAAAAGAAAAAATTGGGAATGTTTTTCCTCTTCATTTAGTCAGCTATCACCAAAATCAAAAGAGCTCATAGGTTTTCAGTTCAGGCTTTGTTAGCTATAGAAATGTTCCAGTAGTTTTGCATTGACAAGCTTTTAAAAGAAGTTTAAGGTTTAAAACAAACATGTTAATGGTATGAAACTCGAGCTGTGCTGTCTGCTGAAGTTACAACAAAATATTACTTGTTTCCCCCTACGTAAATATTTAAATATTTCTACAGAGCTCTGATTTTGGAGGCAAAATATGTGGCAAGTGACATGAAACAGGACACAATAGTAACACAGTAATAGCAACACAACTTCAAATAAACCATATAATTAATGTAAGCAAGTCAAAATTGTGTTTTTTAAAGGTATAACATGACCAGCCAAAAAATATTTACAGGTAAAGGCGAAACACTAACAAGTGGATTATAGAACAGAGTCCCTTTATTTTAGTTAGTTTTAACTTACTGAGTCTTTCCAATTATCTAAGCCATCTTCTTATAGGTTGTGTGTATGTAACATAACCTTTATCTTCTCTTAAAATTCATCAAACAAAACACATAATTTATAATTCTTGGTAGCTGTTTTGAAGTGAAGAACGGTCTGCTTGCACATCTTTAATGCTGCTGCACATAAGCAATGTGTTTCTTTGTGAACTTTAACAAAAATCTAAATTGCAATTTGTTATTTTACTGATGTCATAACTTATTTATGACAGTCAATGCTTTTGAGTGCTGTGATATGCTCTAATAACCGTGCAAGACTAAGCACCTGGTTTCCCACAGTCCAGCAGCATACCAGTGCAGGACTCTGCAGTTTCTATCATGTTGTTGAAAGTATGCAAACTAAAATTTGCAAAACATATGTAGCAATATTTATATGACTGTGCTACAGGGACACTACAGTTGTACTTTCATATGTGAATAACAAGATGCACTTATGACTGGATATGGAGAAAAAACAAACATAAAAACCACTTAAACCTTGGCGCTCTCTGCTCCCAGGACGCCTGCGAACCTGTCCTCTCAGCACAAATTACTTCATCTGTAAGTCAAAGAAATTTTTGAGGATATCCTGCACAGACTCATACTTTTTCTGGCTGACCACATGGCTAAATAGAACTTGAAAAACAAATGGAAAAATGTTGACGTTTCATATGGTTTGTAAATATGTAAATAAATTCTTGGGATTTCACAGAAAAGCACCCAAAGACTTTATTCATCCTGCTGTGAATGTGTGCAAATAAGTGGCAATCGTTACCACAGAGTTGCAGGTGAGGGAGCTCTGAAGCTTGAAGACTTTATGGAGGCCGGCGGCCTCAGCCTCCCTCAGCTTCTCTTCTGTCATCTTGACCACAAAGCGCAGTGTGATGTTCTCTTGTATCTTGGTTTCCTTCCCTGTGTCCCTCATGCTCGCCTCTGTATTTAGTCAGTCTTGTCCCCAAATTCACATTTCATTGTCTTTGACTCAGTGTGTGTCACTTCCTGTTTTATTTTGACAGTACCTCATCTCGTGTGTGTCTTGTTCAGTGTTCCTTTCTCTGTCTCTTTAGTTTGCATTAGTTCTAGCTGTGTTCCCTTCTGTTGCCCATCCTCTCGTTATCCTGAACGAAATTCTAACTCTACTCAGTCTACCTCTGCTTGTTGTCACATCATCCCAATTTGCCGTGTTTCCTTTGTTTATCCCTAGTTTCAAGTTCCGAGTTTTACAGTTTCCTGGTTTCCTCCTGGCCTGCATTTTTGTATTTTTTGTTTTACAGTTTCTTGTAACAGCAAATGAAGCTGTCTCCTTTAGTTTATTCCCCTGTCTCCAAGTCCTGTGTGTAGGTTCTACCTTGCCTGCCACACAGAGGTTAATAACTGTCTCCATCAAAATGGTCTAAGAAGTACAACAAATGAATGAGTGTATATTTATTAAAGTCAGTTTAATATACCTACAAAACCGGCAAATCTTGAAAAGAAAAGCGTCTGGACTTCTATAAGTTGCTTGAAGACGTTTCACCTCTCATCCAAGAAGCTTCTTCAGTTCTAAAGTCAAATGGTGGAGAGTCCCAGATTTAAGCCCTGTGGGAGTGTCCCCCCAAATGGACATGGAGCCTCTAACGATCCTCTACCTAATCACATGAGCCAAGGTGTGAAAAAGGGTTTAGGTCACAGTCAGCCAAGATTTTGGGTGAACTCATTGTGGAACCTAACTCCTATCATGTGATTTCCTTAGGTCAGAAGGCCCAGGATGTGAGTGGGCGTTAAGGCGTCTGTCCTCTCTGTCCAAAAGATTTTGGACAGAGAGGACAGATTGTTTGAAAGAGGAGTGAAAGAAGCCATCTATGTCCACTGTGAACGCCCCTTTTTGAACAGAGGCGGTGGTTTATGACACCAACTGTCAGCCATCGGTAATCGAGTTTTGAGATCCCTTCCCAGACGCCTTGGGAAGGGGTTAGGTTCCAGAATGAGTTCACCCGAAATCTTGGATGATTGTGACCTACACCCATTTTCACACCTTGGCTCATGTGATTAGGTAGAGGATCATTAGGGGCTCCATGTCCCTTTGGGGGGACACTCCCACAGGGCTTAAATCTGGGACTCTCCACCATTTGACCCAAGAACTGAAGAAGCTTCTCGGATATGTCACGATCTGAGGAGGCAGACCGTGCGGTGGTGTGTGTGGTGGACCCAGGTGCGAACACACGAGAGTAGACTGGAGTAAACTTAACTGAAAGCGAGCCTTTATTGTGGCTGATGACAAGGAGTGCAGACAAGGCAGAAACGCAGTGACAAACTAAACTATGACTAAACTGGGAAAGTAAAACTAGGAAAGACTATGAAGACACAGGAAACCATAACTATGAATACTAAGACTGGCTGTGACGACATGGAGGGTGGGAACACAGACGACGCGACACAGACTACATGAAACACAGAGACTAAATACACATGAGGGATGATCAGGGGAAGTGGCCACACATGGGAGCACAGCTGACACACATGAACCTAACGACAGGACAGGAGAAGTGAAACTGAATACGCTGACAATGAATACAGACTTTCAAAGTAAAACGGGAAACATGGAGATTAGACATGACAAGAACTAAACATAACCACGCAGACATGACGCATGAACCAGGGAGACTTAGTACAGGGGGAGATGACATAAACAACTAAGGAACAAAACTAAACTGCAATCTAGAAATTAACTAGGTGAACTAAGCTAGGTGCAAATGAATACAAAAGATACATGAAACTCAAATACTGGGTCGCTTGACCCAGGACCATGACAGGATAAGAGGTGAAATGTCTTCAAGCAACATAAAAGAAGTCCAGGCACTTTTCTTTCAAGGCTCCTTAGACTATGATGACCTGGATGACTGAGAACCTTCACGGACATGTAGTTTATAAAGTTCCTGCTGACCTGAGCATGGTGAAGGGCTGGCAGAATCCCTGTCAGTGTGACACACACAAATATGTAATTACTTTATTAAATTATTTTTGTTATATATGCATTTAAAAAAAAATTACATTTCATACTAATTAAGTGTAGGTGGTTTGAGTGTCTCAAGTCCTGCATGTTTGGTGTTTCAAGTCAGTGTATTCCACTATTATATTATGTGTCCGATTTTACAGGTCAGGAATGTGTCCAGAAGCAAATAAATATGCTTAAATGACCTCTGAAATTTACCCAATATTATTTCACACAGATGTGTAATGGATTTCACTTTTTTACTTGAACTACAGGTGTGGGTACCACTAGCAAACACTCCTGTTCCTGTAAAGTGTAAAGCTATGTGTACAGTTGCAGCGCCCCTGATTAATTTCTTCTCTTTAAGATGTTTTTATTTATTATTTTGGAAAATGTGTTAAGCTAGTCTGAAGTCATTCATTAAAAAATAAGCTATCTCTCTGTTAGCAGCTAACTTGCCAGAGAAGATACAAAGCCAGAAAACTGAGTTAGAGTTCCTGCCTCTGTCCAGCTACAAAAGGGCAATAGGTCCCAAAAAACAGCGTTAAACAAGTTTATCAAGTGTAATCCAGAAAACGTTTCCTCCTTGTTGGGGCGATCGTGGCTCAAGAGTTGGGAGTTTGCCTTGTAATCGGAAGGTTGCCGGTTCGAGCCCCGGCTTGGACAGTCTCGGTCGTTGTGTCCTTGGGCAAGACACTTCACCCGTTGCCTACTGGTGGTGGTCAGAGGGCCCGGTGGCGCCAGTGTCCGGCAGCCTCGCCTCTGTCAGTGCTCCCCAGGGTGGCTGTGGCTACAATGTAGCTTGCCATCACCAGTGTGTGAATGGGTGGATGACTGGATATGTAAAGCGCTATATAAATACAGGCCATTTATTATTTTGTTGCATTTGCTCATTTCCTGATCTTAAGCATTTCCTTGTGATATGTTCCATGGAAAAACTCCTTAACTGTGAAATTATTCATCATTTCAATTTTAAGTGAAGCAGCACGAAGGAATTAGAAATGTGTCACAAATTTATAATAGAAAGAGAGGATGCAGTGATAGCAGCATGTGTGATTCAGAGTCCTCTCACACTGTAAGCCTCGAGCCACTCACATATTTTCCTCTTGGACTCTTGGTCCTGTTCCCAGTGTTGGAGGCCTTTCGACTGGAGGTGCTTGTCACTGATTCCTTCTTCACTTGCACACTGCTTGTCTTTTCTCCTGGTTTCTCCTCTGTCTTCTCTGGCTTGTGGTTGAGGAGGTTCTCGCAGTCACAGTGGTCATCTAGTTCTAAGTGCTTTTGATTTGAGCAAAACCACTTCCTAGAGCTGTAGAGAAGCTCCACAATGCTGGAAAATGCTGATACTACCCCTACAGCAAAGTAGAAGAGGAGGAAGATTGTTTTCTCTGCAGGTCGAGAAGTGAAGCACTCCACTGTCAGGGGGCAGGGAGAACGACTACATGGAAAATGGGCCTCCACCTTGAAGCCGTAGAGGCGCCACTGGACAAATAAAAAGCCAATTTCTGCCATTATGCGGAAGATCAGAGTGATAATGTAGAGTGCCCTTAAAGTTTTTTCTTCTCTGTTCTCCCTGCTGGTCTTTTTCCTCGACGAGGAGCGGTTGGCTCTCTTGTAATGCTGATGTGTTGCATATATGAGGTAAAGCAGAGGAGGTGTAGCGATGAGGACTATATGAAACACCCAGAATCTGTACTGGGAGATGGGGAAAGCTAAGTCATAACACACCTGCTTACATCCTGGCTGGAGGGTGTTACAGGTAAATTCCTCCTGCTCGTCCTCAAACATGTCACTGGCCACGGTTTCCAAGATAACTATCCTAAACACCAGCACGAGGACGAGCCAGAAACGACCCAGCATCGGCGAGTGTGTCTGGAGGGCATCGAAGAATCCACCGATGAAGCCCCACTCACCCATGACTGCAGCACTGTCAGGTCCAGAGGTTTGTTCTCCGATCTGTCTCAGATTCGCCACCTTTGATTTAAGAATGAAACCAGAATGCTTGTTATCATAATCTCCAATCCATGACTTTCACTCAAAGTGAAACCAAATCTGGTCAAAAGTGGGCTCAGGATATTTGCGTCTTAGGTGCTGACTGAGTCCTGTGGGCTTAAACTAAAAGCCTACAATAATTCTCAATTTCTGTTGCCTTTAGTTAACACATCAGCTCAAAGAAATTGTAAGAAACTAACAAGCTAATAGTCTGGAGTCTACCGATGCAGTGTTGTCTCAAATGTAGGATTTGAAAATGTGTCTTATACTGACTGGTTGAACTACTCACCTATGATTTAGAGATGTCTGTTCTGCCAAGACAAAACAGGTTGAGCATAGATTTTCTTTTTGTATTTGTTTATTTAAGAAAGACAAAATCTTGATTAGTATTTTTAAAAAAAGTTTCCTTTACTGGACGGAAGAATATCTTTAAAGTTGTACCAACATGTTTCCTGATCACAGCATAACATGTTTTGTTAAATATAAAAATTATACATGTTGTTTCTTATTTTAGTCAACAAGAACCAGAATCAAAACTCATTTTTTGTTTTTGGTTTTAAGTTGTTAGATTAAAAATATTTCTTTTGTGACCCTGGATATGGCATTTGTCTAAATTTGATCAGAACTTAATTACTGAGTACTTAAGTAGTAGTTAATTGAAAAAAAAAAACCTTTTAAGTTATATATCATCTACTTTTGAGGTATAACCAATCAGGGAAAAACAATCAACCTTCTCTGTTCCTAAGTCGTCCTCTCACGTGTCCAAACCTGTTTAAAACTCCATTCCCCTCTCTACACAAGTATGTCATCTAGACTAACGACGTTTCCACTCTTCATCCTCTTCATAGCTTCCCTCCCTTGCTTCTTGCTAATCCTCTCTCATCCTCTACATTACATCCTTAATACAGTCACAACATTCTCCAGATACTCCTTGATAATAAAACATTACTTACATGTAGATATTTCTGAGTGCTGTGTCGTCATGACACCCAGCGCATCGAATGTTGGCTGCTCCTCCCTCTACATTCAACATGAATATTACCCAGAAACAACATATTTAACAGGTTACATGAAACAGCCCACAATCAACCCGTGACACGACTTCCAACTTACTGTACAATTAACATAAACAAGCGGATTGCACAACACATTTCGAGAAGCTAAGAGGAAATAAGCTTAAAACAAGAGGGTTTTTTTCTTCTCTTTGATATGATGAGAATCTTTATTTTGAAACAGTGAATCTGATTTTTTTTTTATGTCACACAGATTTCTGGTCCATTTATTCAGTAAGTCTCTGTCGTTTGAAAGCTGTAAGAACATAGTTTTGAACTTCAGATCAAACAACATGGCCGGAGCCAGAGAAGCCGTTCTCTGTCGTCAACATGGGCAGAGGGTCCTCTGTCGAGCACACAGTGGATGTTACTAATAGTCTCACATATTTTGCAGTTGGGAATCTTTGTGGTCCAGCCTGTGTGAATGCCTTCAACACCACGCATCAGCACAGTGAGGGTGATAGGAATGTTCTTGTTACAGTTATTCTTAAGCAGGTTTTCCACAGTTGAGAAAACATGGTAGGCGAAGTAAGTAGTGCAAGATATCTGCAGCTTTAGCGGCCGAATTGTCCAAGTGCAGAACACTGATTTATAGTTAGTTTCCAACAAAAGTTCAAATTAACCATACTGTCAGCAGAGGACATGACAAATACTAAATTGTTTGCCATTCAGTCACACAAACTTTATGAACACCACCTTTAGAGGGCATGTATTTTATAAAGCGCCTGTTGACCTGAACGAGGTGAAGAGCAGGAGGGCTGGCACAGTCCATTTGTGAATTCATTATACAGTATATACATGTGTTTCTGTGCATTTCACTCTGTTTGCATGCTGGTATGATTTATAAAGCCGTACAAGTCTGGTGTTTCAAGTCAGTGTGTACCACTATGGACAGCAGAGGGCAGCAGAATGCCTACTATAGGTCTGCCTTGTTTCCGTTGGTGTCATGAGATCGCTATCCTAGCAAGACTGATCAGGCTAACATCGGCATGTTTCTTCTGCTCATTATTTCTGATTTTTCTAAGGTCAGTAATGTGTCCAGAAGCACAGAAAATATCCCTGATTAGTTTCTAACCTGAGCTAATTCATAAAAATGGTTAACAAAAGTAATAGAAACCATGTGGATGAATTACATAACAAAGAAAGCAAAGACTCTGGCAAGGCTAACCAGGCAAAAGGTAGCATGTGTCCTCTCCTTTTTAATAACTTTTACAGGATCATGAGGACCATACCGTACGACAAAGTCACGTCCGCTGTTGCTAGCCGCCATTTCTGCCACTGGCCGGGGTAGCATTGTTGTTTTTTAATGATGTTTTAATCAGTCAGTAGAGAAACTTAGATATTCACAGATTATACAGAGGATATGCTACAATATGCTACAATAGTTTGAGAAATTTTGACTTCTCCTGAGTGGCAACACCTAGTACAGGAGAATACTGCAAATTCAAATAAATTCAAATTTTATTTGTCACACACACACACAACCATACACAGTATGACATGGGGGTGAAATGCTTGTAGCTGTACAATGCCCGACCATTAAATGACAGAAAGAAGTGGGCAGTGGGTATTTATAAATCCTAAAATGGAGAGAAACCTGCATCAGTATACACAGTGTATACAGTGTTAGCCTATAACTGTTTCTTACAATTTGTAAGAAGATAAAGAAGCAGGTATGTATTATACGCTGCTGTTAATGTTTTATTACTTTAGTGATATCATAGAATTGATATCTCTACGTGTTCTAATGCAGTGTTTCATTTTTGATTCCGGGCAACCGGAATATGAAGTCAGTTAACGCCCAAGCTGGATAAACCTCCAATCTACCTTTAAATGGATGGGTACCTAAAGCGACCAATGCACTAGTGAGGTCATAATCTGATTGAGGTTGTTGATTGCCACAAAATTCTGGCCCAAAACAATGATGGCCATCATCAGATATACTGCAAAATAAGAAAGAATTGAAACCCAGTACAAGAAAATTCAGTCAGTGTGGCTCACCAGGAACTACAAGAATAATATTCATTTTCTCTAAAAGGCTGCCGTGCTTATTTTTCCTATCAGTACAACCTGAATCCTCTGCTGAGTTAGAGTTTCTGCCTCTGGCAGCTACAAAAGGGACACAGTTACGAACAAAACAATCAGCATTAAACAAGTTTATCAAGCGTAGTCCAGAAAATGTTTCCTTCCTGAACTGTTTACAGCCTTTAATCATTTAAACAACAACGTCTTGCATGCATCCTTCTTATCATCAGTGTTTTCTTTGCTCATTTCCCAAACAATCCTTGTAAAGTGTCCCACTGCAAATACTGTTTAACACATCAGCAGTGAAATCATTTCAAATGAAATGGAGTTAGAGATGTAGTCACAGGTTTAAAATAGAAAAGACTCTGAATCACACATGCTGTGATTGCAGTCAGTCCTCTCACAATGTAAGCCTCGAGGCGCTCACATATTTTCCTGGTGGACTTTTGCACTTGTGACCACTGCTGTAGACCTTTCGACTGTAGCTGCTTCTCACTGATCCCTTCTTTGCTCTCGCACTGCTGGCTGTGCTTTCTGACGTCATCTTTACTGCTGCTTTCTCCTCTGTCTCCTCTTGCTTGAGGTTGTGGAGGTTCTCGCAGTCACATTGGTCATACAGATCCAATTTCTTCTGATTTGAGCAAAACCACTTCCCAGAGCTATAGAGAAGCTCCACAACGCTGGAAAATGCTGATATCACCCCTACAGCAAAGTAGAAGAGGAGGAAGACTGTTTTCTCTGCAGGTCGGGAGGTGAAGCAGTCCACCGTGTAGGGGCAGGGAAATCGGTCACATGGGAACTGGGCCTCCACCTTGAAGCCGTAGAGATACCACTGGACAAATAAGAAGCCGATTTCTGCCACTATGCGGGAGATCAGAGTGATAATGTAGAGTGTCCTTAAAGCTTTTTCTTCTCTGTTCTCCCTGCTGCTCCTTTTCTTCGATGGAGAGGGGTTGGCACTCTTGTTATGCTGGTGTGTGGCGTACACGAGGTAAAGCAGAGAAGGTGTAGCGATGAGGACTATATGAAACACCCAGAATCTGTACTGGGAGATGGGGAAAGCCAAGTCATAACACACCTGCTTACATCCTGGCTGGAGGGTGTTACAGGTAAATTCCTCCTGCTCGTCCTCAAACATGTCACTGGCCACAGTTCCCAGGATCACTATCCTAAACACCAGCATGAGGACGAGCCAGAAACGACCCAGCATCGGCGACTCGGTCTGGAGGATATCGAAGAATCCACCGATGAAGCCCCACTCACCCATGACTGCAGCACTGTCAGGTCTGTCTTCTTGGAAGTCTGGAGGCTTGTTCACCTGTTTGTCTCAGAGCAAAGGCTGCCTTTGTTTTAAAAATGAAACTAGAATTCTTGTTATAATAATCTCCAATATATGACTCACAGTGAGACTGTACCCAATAAAAGTGATCAAAGGTAGCTTATCCATCCTAAGGGTTGATTGAGTTCATACTCCAGTGGCCTGAAATAAAAAATGAAACATCACATAAGAACCTGCAAAGACAGCAACTCAAGTATCTGATTAAAGAAATAAAACAATAACAGCAGCCTTCACAGGCATCATGATCTTTGGCGTCACTGGTGTTCTCTAGCCTTTGTCTTTGTGTCTAGTATTTAGTTGGACATCCTCTGTCTCATTATCATTGATTGATTTCAGCTGTGTGTCATACCCTGGCGTTTTCCATCTCCCTCTTTATATCATGTGTCTATTTAAATCCCCAGCCTGCTTGTGTTCTTTGTTGTACTGTAGTGTTTTTCCACAGCTGTTTTGGTCCACCTTCACATGCAAAGATGAGATGGAATCAGTAAAGTTTATCTTATCATATAACACATAAAACGAAACCATCTTTCAGAGTTCAGTATAAAAACTGACCTTGGCGCCAGCAGTCGTCTCGATATGGCGTTATATGAGGTTATTTGATGAGCTACTATCAGTCGTCACTGAGGGATTTTTTTTTCTTGTAATCAAAGGTTTCTGTACTCTCTTTTTTTCCTTTTTAACAGCTGTGTTCAAATCTACATGTGACTGTTATAAGACCAAACCAACATCTGCGTTATAAAAAAGCACATAGCTCTAATTGAGCCGAACAGCTTTGTGTTGATACCTGCAGCCTTCTTCTTGAATGCAGCTGGTTTCTTTGGTTGAGCCTCTTTGGTTTTACGCTGAGTTTCTCAAACTCATCACACTAGCATTCTGTGGTTCTAACACTTGTAACTTATATATATTTTTAATGGTAATTTGAAGGTTATTTTATGCTAGGCTGCCACTCAATCACACAAACCGTAAAAACAAGCGTATTTAGAGGTCATGTAGTTTGTAAAGTGCCTGGTGATCTGAGCATGGGGCATGGAAGGCTGGCACTGTCCACGCCACTGTGACCCACACAAATATGCTGTCACTTTTGTGAATTAATTATGCAGCATATGCTTGTGTTTCTGTACATTTCACTCTGTTTTTGTGCTGGTATGATTTATAACATGTCCTTCTAGTTTGGTGTTTCAAGTCGATGTGTATCACTTTGGACAGTAGAGGGCAGCAGAATGTCTGCCATGGTTCTGCCTTGTTGACATGGTTCATCATAAGATGGTCATTCTGGGAAGACTGACCAGGATTAGTGTTGATGCATTACTGACCTGTTAAAATGCATAACTGAACATTGAAGTTTACCTTATCTTATTTAAGGCTAGATTTATGATGTGCAATATATCTTGATGCATGCTTTATAATCCAGTTAAGGAGTTCCCAAAAAGCTGATCAGTGGGAGAAACGCTGGGAAGGCACCTAAAGAATGCTTCAGGCAGTCCAGGAGAGATTAACTGCTGCCTAAGCAAAAAATCTTAGTGATCCCTTATGTGTCAGGAGTATAGGAACAGCTGAGACGCATTTTCTCTAAACACTGTGGCTTTTAAACCTCAAAACATACGGCGCCAAAAATTGGTCCACCCCAAGGATCGGTTCTCCCGACACAAACAGAATAATGTAGTGTACGCTGTTAAGTAGCAGGAGGATTGCTGTGATTTATACATCAGGGAAACCGAACAATCTCTGCTCAAGGGGATGGCACAACACAGTAGAGCTACCTCACCAGGTCAGGACTCTGCAGTCTATTTACACCTACAGGCCAGTGGACACTCTTTCAATGATGAGGATGTACACATCCTGGACAGGGAGGAACGCTGGTTTGATTGAGGATTCAAGGAGTCCATGTACATGAAAAGGGAAAGACCATCTCTGAATAGAAGAGGGGGCCTAAGGGTACATCTTTCACCATCTTATAATTGTGTGATTGCAGCCATTCCCCAACTCTGTGAATGGTACTCATGGTCTTGGATCATTGGTCTTTGATTGGTGGTTTTTGATCAATCGACATGACAATTTCCATATTAATGGTCAAGGAACTGATCTCACAGCCCATTGTTTGTCAGCGGTGCTAATTATAGTCATTATGCAAATGTACTGTTTATAAAGTCGGCAAGCCTGCAGTCAGCTGAGACTGAAGAAGTCCCTCGGATATGTGACAAAATGTTTCTCCCACCAAAAACACTACATCCAGATGAACAGAATCACCTTTTTGGGATGTGGTGTATTTAATTTTTTTTTCTTGAGCTACTCCTGTTCTGCCACTTTTATTAAGTGTGCTACCATTGTTGGTAGAAACATTAATGTCCTTTAGCAAACACTTCCGCTCCCATACAGTGTAAATTCTGCAGTTCATAAACAGCTCTGATTGCAGTTCTTGTGCACTTGGTTAATCTCTTTATGTACATTATGTTTCTAAACTGTGCTAAGCTAGTCCGAGGTAATTTGTAAAAACAAGTGCAAGGGTTTTATTAAAACTTTGATGATTTATTCACAGTATTGAGATCAAAATCTTTATTGTTTGTATCTATTCTAGTCAGGTACATTTAAAAAAATATTCAACTACTTTCCAACGTTGAAACTTCATCTCTGTGAATTTTTGCTTTTAACATGTTTATATTTCTGCTCATTCAACTCTTTTTTTTTTCACCAAACATTCAGCAATTTTAAAATAAATTCAGCTCAAATGTTTTGAAGGTCAGCTTTGACCTTGGAAAGCTTACCTTTCCAAAATAAGTCTCTGTGCTTATTATTTATTTTTTTATTATTTTATTGATACTGCTGATTGATGGTGAGCAAAATAAGAAAGATTTGAGATCTAGTCAAGAAAAAAACAGCTAAATTCGGTCAGTGTGGCTCACCAGGAACTGTCAAATTAATAGAAATTTTGTCTGAAAGGCTGCCGTGCTTATTTTTCCTATCAGTACAACCTGAATCCTCTGCTGAGTTAGAGTTTCTGCCTCTGGCAGCTACAAAAGGGACACAGTTACAAACAAAACAATCAGCATTAAGGAAGTTTATCAAGCGTAGTCCAGAAAATGTTTCCTTCCTGAACTGTTTACAGCCTTTAATCATTTAAACAACAACGTCTTGCATGCATCCTTCTTATCATCAGTGTTTCCTTTGCTCATTTTCCAAACAATCCTTGTAAAGTGTCCCACTGTAAATACTGTTTAACACATCAGCAGTGAAATCATTTCAAATGAAATGGAGTTAGAGATGTAGTCACAGGTTTAAAATAGAAAAGACTCTGAATCACACTTGCTGTGATTGCAGTCAGTCCTCTCACAATGTAAGCCTCGAGGTGCTCACATATTTTCCTGGTGGACTTTTGCACTTGTGACCACTGCTGTAGACCTTTCGACTGTAGCTGCTTCTCACTGATCCCTTCTTTGCTCTCGCACTGCTGGCTGTGCTTTCTGACGTCTCTGTCTCCTCTTGCTTGAGGTTGTGGAGGTTCTCGCAGTCACATTGGTCATACAGATCCAATTTCTTCTGATTTGAGCAAAACCACTTCCCAGAGCTATAGAGAAGCTCCACAACGCTGGAAAATGCTGATATCACCCCTACAGCAAAGTAGAAGAGGAGGAAGACTGTCTTCTCTGCAGGTCGGGAGGTGAAGCAGTCCACCGTGTAGGGGCAGGGAAATCGGTCACATGGGAACTGGGCCTCCACCTTGAAGCCGTAGAGATACCACTGGACAAATAAGAAGCCGATTTCTGCCACTATGCGGGAGATCAGAGTGATAATGTAGAGTGTCCTTAAAGCTTTTTCTTCTCTGTTCTCCCTGCTGCTCCTTTTCTTCGATGGAGAGGGGTTGGCACTCTTGTTATGCTGGTGTGTGGCGTACACGAGGTAAAGCAGAGAAGGTGTAGCGATGAGGACTATATGAAACACCCAGAATCTGTACTGGGAGATGGGGAAAGCTAAGTCATAACACACCTGCTTACATCCTGGCTGGAGGGTGTTACAGGTAAATTCCTCCTGCTCGTCCTCAAACATGTCACTGGCCACAGTTCCCAGGATCACTATCCTAAACACCAGCATGAGGACGAGCCAGAAACGACCCAGCATCGGCGACTCAGTCTGGAGGTCTTTAAAGAATCCACCGATGAAGTCCCACTCACCCATGGCTGCAGCTCTGTCAGGCCTTTTGGAAGTCTGGAGGCTTGTTCAGCTGTCTGTCTCAGAGCAAAGGCTGCCTTTGTTTTAAAAATGAAACTAGAATTCTTGTTATAATAATCTCCAATATATGACTCACAGTGAGACCGTACCCAATAAAAGTGATCAAAGGTAGCTTATCCATCCTAAGTGTTGACTGAGTTCATACTCCAGCGGCCTTAAACCAAAAATAAAACATTACAGAAGAACCTGCAAAGACTATCAACAATATCATTAAAGACATAAAACAATAACAGCAGCTTACGAGCCTTTAAGAAACTCTTACCCACTAACATTATAGAGTCAACTGCTCCAAATTTCTTTCTATTTTAGGATATATACGTGGTTTTGACTCTTTGAAATTGACTCTGGAGGAAATATACTGACTCGGCTATGTTCCAGAGATGACAGTGATGGCAAGATAAAATGGGTTGAACATTGATTTGTAACTTCAAAATTGTGAAGGGACGTACTACAAGAAAAAGCTTTTGTGTTTCTGTGCATAGACTGAAGCTGTGGAACAGTTTGAATATGGAGTGGAAGCAACATCTAAACATAAAGCAGCTCAAAAAGAGTTATAAAGATATGATTTTCTTGAATTATAAAGAAAGGAAAAATGTTGAAATTCAGTGAATGTCTCTATTTCGAAAATGTCATGTGATGTATATATTATCAGAAGTCTGTTTGCTATTTTTACTACAGATTATATCAGTAAGGAAGCTGACTATATATTGACTGATAGCTTATGGCAAAGGGGTGGGATTAAATGAGTGTGTACTTCTTCCCACTCCTTTTCGATGTGTAACTGAATCGGAACAGATGAAGCAATATTGAAATAAATTAACTTTATTTGTATAGTATTTTTTTTCTCTTCTTTTCTTTGCTAAATGTACCCTTATATTGTTTACATGATCGAAATAAATTAACAAACAAATAAACAACACACGATTGTTGACGTTTGTTGTGGCTAAAAATCTTGTCTGCCGAAGCCTCGACTGGGTTGAATCGTAGCCCATTTATGCAGAACAGGTATCGCTTCCTTCTTTTAGTTGTTCTCGACACACACATGCACAATGTTAATATATCTGATCAGAAGCATGGAGGAGATTCCAGGAGCCAGTTACTTAGTCTAGCAGAGGTGGAGAGGGTCGTAGAAGGTCTTTAATCCACCAGCAGGACTAGTATCTCCTTGTTCATGCAAGGAAGAGGATGATAAACACTGACATTTGACATGTGGGTCATTTTGTTTCAGTCCATCTGATTCTGTCAGGTTGCACCTCAGTTTGTCCAGGAGCTCAGTGATGCCCTGATCCAGAGCATGCCCTGAAGTAGTCCTTATAGTCTGTGATGAGAGGAGAAACCTTCTTTGTGCCATTTAGCATCGGCTCCAGCACACTCTCCTTTTAGATCTGGACCAGAAAGTCAATAAAGAGTTTGGCAAAGTGGACTTAAAAGTGGTGTTAAAAGCACCGGAAATATATAAGTATATTTATTTGAGGCAGTTTAATAAAGCCTAGAACACTCAGGAAGCCATTCTCTCTCTTCACCATAGGCAGAGGGTCCTCGCCCACTGGTAGTGTAGCATGCAAACGAAGCTACACTGAGTGGTGCAACAGCCTGGGGTCAACTGAAGGAACTCCTCAGCCTTAAGAAGCCAACAAGCAATCAGCAAAGTCAACACAGTAATTAGCCACAGTCTGGAAATGTGTGGGCAGGTAAGGTTGAGGCTTGACTTCTGAAACACAAAAACCAAATGCCAACATTCACACAAACAAAGGGGAGAGAGAAAGCAGAAGAGAAAGGAAAAGATAGAAGAGCAAGTCGAACCAGTAGGACCAAGGCGTGGCTCTCCAAGAAATATAAAAATAGTACTCATTTTCAAGGTTTCTTGGGTCTTATTTTTGTCTCGGTATGGCCTGAATCCCCTGCTGGGTTAGAGGTTCTATGTTTGATGAATCTGACAGCTACGAAAGGGCAACATTGACTAAAAACCAATCACCTGTAAGGAAGTTTGTCAAGTGTTTTCCAGGAAATGTTTCTGTCAAAATGCTTGCAGACTTTCGTCATTCAGCAGAACTAACAAGTCAATGATGTCTCTCATGCGTCCTTCTTATCGTCTGTGCTCGTTTTGTCATTTTCCCATAAGTTTCTTCATGATGTCGCTAATACACATGAAGAGGAAAACATGTAGAGGGAATTAGAAATGTAGTCACAAATTTATGATAGAAAAAGGAGGATGCTGTGATTGCAGCATATGTGTCCTCTCACAATGTAAGCCTCGAGGCGCTCACATATTTTCCTCTTGGATTCTTGTACTTGTGACTGATGCTGGAGCTCTGTCGACTGGAGCTGCTTCTCACTGATCCCTTCTTCATTCTCACACTGCTGGCCGTGCTCACTGACATCGTCTCTCCTCCTGATTTCTCCTCTGTATCCTCTTGCTTGTGGTTGCGGAGATTCTCGCAGTCACAGTGGTAGATTCTGTCCTCCTGGTCTGAGCAAAACCACTTACAAGAGACGTAGAGAAACTCGACAATGCTGGAAAATGCTGATACTACCCCTACAGCAAAGTAGAAGAGGAGGAAGATTGTTTTCTCTGCAGGCCGGGAAGTGAAGCACTCCACTGTTAGGGGGCAGGGAGAACGGCTACATTGGAAATGGGCCTTCACCTCAAAGCCATAGAGACGCCACTGGACAAATAAGAAGCCGATTTCTGCCAGTATGCGGAAGATCACAGTGATAATGTAGAGCGCCTTGGAAGTTTTTTCTTCTCTGTTCTTCCTGCTGCTCCTTTTCCTCGACGAGGAGCTGTTGGCCCTCTTGTGATCTTGATGTGTTACATACACGAAGTAAAGCAGAGAAGGTGTAGCGATGAGGATCAAATGAAACACCCAGAATCTGTACTGGGAGATGGGGAAAGCCTCATCGTAACACACCTGCTTACATCCTGGCTGGAGGGTGTTACAGGTAAATTCCTCCTGCTCGTCCTCAAACATGTCACTGGCCACAGTTCCCAGGATTAGTATCCTAAACACCAAAACGAGGACGAGCCAGAAACGACCCAGCATCGGTAAATGGGTCTGGAAGTCTTTAAATAATCCACCGATGAAGCCCCACTCACCCATGGCTGCAGCTCTGTCAGGTCTGTCTTCTTGGAAGTCTGGAGGCTTGTTCAGCTGTTCGTCTCAGAGCAAATGCTGCCTTTGTCTTAAAAATGAAACCAGAATTCTTGTTATTGTAATCTCCAATCAGTGACTCACGGTTTAACTGAACCCATCAAACCTGATTAAATGTTGCTTCAAGGCTTATCCACCTTAGTTGCTCAGTGGGCTGTAACCAAAAATGACGCAAAGAACCCGCAAAGAGAGTACATAAAGCACAACACTTCAGGAAAAAAAACTGTAGCAACAGCCTGTAATATATCCTTTCAGTTCTTTTCTCCTTCAGTTAGCATAAAATACAACCAGCTAACATTGTAGAGTACAATAACCAACCTCAAGACTGATCCAAGGTTCCATTTCATACATTTGAACTTTGCTAATGGACAGGTTGAAACCCAACTCCTACATTTCAGAGATGCCAAGATAAAATAGTCTGACGACAGTGTTAATCTACTATGCAGAGACTCATGACCTACCGTCATGTTTGTTTTCCCAAGTAAGCAGGTACCAATCCAAATCATTGGATCATGTGCTCCAATCACTTCCATGACCACATGTGTATAACAAATGCACTTAGGCATGCGGACTGCTTCTACAAATATTTTAGATTAGCTCAAGAACAGTGCGTAGGGTGGCTTTTCATAGCTGAGCAGCTGTATACAAGCCTTTCATCACTGAGCTCAATACAAAGTCTGGGATGGAACCACTGGACTCTAGAGCTGTGGAGACGTGTTCTCTGGAGCAATGAATCACTTTCCTGTCTGGCAATCTGATGGACGAGTCCACCAGTGCACAAAGCAAGGGCCATAAAGACATGAGTCTGATGTGGAAGAACTCGACTGGCCTGCAGAGCCAATATTAAACCCTAAGGATTAAGAACAGGAGTTTACTCAAATTCATGTGTTTGAAGGCAGATAAGTGAATACTTTTAGCAATATAGTGTATATTTGGATGCTCCTACTGCTGCATTGCATTGAAATCTTTCTACAAAATTAAAGCAAGTAGCTTTTTTCATTAAACAGGAGCCCCAACACAACCCGGTGACACAAATCAAACACACCATGCAATCAATAAAAACAAACTTTATTTTTTAAAGGTATAAACTGAACAGCCAAAGAAATATTTACAGGACAGCACAAAACACAAACAAGTGGATTACAAAATACGCCTAGAAGCTAAGAACAAATACTATTAAAACTAGACTTGTATACCAGCTTTTTTTCCCCTTCTCTTTGAAATAATACGATTTTTTTTTTTTTAAATAAACAATGGTGAGTTTTTGTTTATGTCTTTTTTTTAAATTTAAAGGTTACAGATTGCTGGTCCAAGGTCCATATATGAGGCGAGTGTAAATGCAGCTGAACTTCAACAGATAAAATGAGTGCAATATTACCTGCATGGCACACTACAACATTTATGACTCATCTTTTCGAAATAACAATTTGAGAACTATTATTTAAAAATCTTCATCTGAATCTGAGTCCAGGTTGTAGGTGATGGGTTTCCGGGCCCGTGAGGGTTTATCCCGTGGTGCTGCAGCTACAGGAGCGGCTTCTTCAGGGTCTGAAACCTGGAAACTCTCATCCTCTTCCCACTTCTTGCTCTTCTGTTGCAGAAAAGGAGATTAAAAGGATTAACAGTGATTATATTAGCACAGGATGCATACAGGAAACCTTTAAAATCTAAACATGTGTAGCAGAGAATCATTTGTTCTACTTAAGTCAGTAGTTTTATTTCAAATGTCACCATTTAAAAAGCTACTTTTATTCTTTTAATAGCTTCATTGTTGAGCCACTTTTTCGTGGTCAGAGTTTATAGTATTTCATTTTATATTTAGAGTTTTACTTCCTGAGGTTGGGCTACTGTACTGCAGGAATATGCCAACTTCTGAAATACTTGAATCACATCTTATGACGTAACACATAAATAGAAAACGAGTGTTCAGTATAAAAACTGACCTTGGTGCCAGCAGTCGTCTTGGATTTGAGTCGTGACATGAGGTCATCTGAGGAGCTGCTGTCAGAGTCATCACTAAGGTTCTTTTTACGTTTAAGAACAGGTTTCTGTTTTGTGACGGGAGCTTTCTTTTCAATCTCTGAGTCGCTAGAGTCGAATGACGGGACATTCTTGGCAGCAGGAGCCCTGGACGCAGGTTTGGGTTTAGAGAGAGCATCCAAGATAGATGGCTGCTTCACATCTAGAGAAAAAAAAAAACAACATTCCAAAGATAAATTTGTTGATTTCTTTGTTTTATAATGATCATGTGCTCAAATCTACCTGTGACCTTTATAAGACCAAACAAACATCTGTGTTACCTGCAGCCTTCTTCTTGGATGCAGCTGGTTTCTTGGCAGCGGCGGGCTTCTTCGGTGCGGCCTCTTTGGTTTTACGTTGAGTTGGAGGCTTGGATGCTGGCTCCTGATCGTCTGACAGAGCTGTAAAGTGCCACAGAGACAAAATATCCAGTCCTCAGAGCCTTGGCCCCACATTTCGCAAATTCATCAAACTATGATCCTAAATGAAAATACTTACAGCTCGACTTTGTGTCTGTTTTTTTAACTGTCGATTTGCTTTTTGCTACCTTCTTCCTGCAGACAAAAGACAAGCTTTGTTTTTAAGGTACATTAAAACAAAAGAAAGATACGTTTTAAGGTTTTTCTTATACTCACATGGGTTCTGGAGCTTTGGGAGGCGGAGCTGGAGAGTCCACATCATTGTCCGACACAGTGCTGGGATCTGGGGCGAAGCTTGCATCATCATCGTCACTTATTAAAGCCTTCCTTTTTGGAGCGTCCTTCTTCCCCCAGTCATCAAAATCATCTTCACTGTCAGACATGCTGTACTTCACCGCAGCTTAAACAGTAAAAAAAGAACAAAATGAAAAGGCAGCTTTAGTAATGCTGTGCTTTGTCAAAGAAAACAAGCATGAGAAGCTGAGGTGTTAAAATGCTGCTCAAAAACCCTTCAATTTGGCTCATTTCCAGATAAGTTAATAATCTTAATAATAAACACCTTCATTTAGAAAAAGCATTTTATGTTTACTCTATTATCTTGGTCTAATATTTACATTTTTTAATTATCTAAAACACTTAGGTGTGACAAACATAACATAAATAAATAGGAAATCACACCACTTAAAGAGTTATCCATCAGCAGAGGAAGCAGTGTGGGCCATCAAGCAGATTCACCTTTGGTTTTCCGTTCTACGCGCTCTCTGGGGGCAGCTGCTTCCTCTGCCTCTACTTCACTGTCCGACAGGCCGACATCCTCATCTGACCACGCGTTTTTCTTGGGCTTCTTGGTAACAGGCTTGAACTGAAGAGTGGTCTGCTTGCCCATCTTTGATTCTGCTGCACACGAGAAATGCACTTCTTTATGAACTTAAACAACAATGTAAAATTTAAGTGCAAACTGATATTTATTATAGCAACTTGCTTATGATTATCAACATTTTTGAGTGAATGTTATAGCAAGCACCAAATTTTACACAATCCAGTTTTGTGTGCATGAAGGAACGTCTGCATAGTTTGGATTAGGTTGTTGAAAACATAATCTAAACTTTAATTCCCCAAAAATGGAGTTTGTATCCATGTTGGCGGAGTACAATATCATTTAGTTGAGAGCCGGAAATTTTCAAAACTTGAGGCTAATTTTGATTTTGCTCCAGCGAGGATTGTGGAGGTCAAGTCTGCAAAATGTGTATTGTTACAGGTTTGCCACTAGATCTCACTAAAGAGCTTCGTGGTTACACCAGTAAGCAGAGGTGTGTGATCATAGTTGAAATGATTTCCAGGCGATATCCTGAACAGTCATTTCTACCTTTTTCTGCTGCTTGGGTCTTGGTTTTCTTGCTCAGCCGTGCAGCTAAGCCCGTTTCCTCAACCGGCTCTGTATTTTCTGCATCCTCTCCAAACTCCATCTTCATCACAACATCTTCACTCTTCAGAGACAGAAATGAGGTCAAGAAAAATGTTACTTTTGGGCAGTTTGTTGTTCTGAATGTGTTAATGTAAAAAACAGTTTATATGCACAATCACATATGAAAACATACCTTGATTTTCTTTCCTCTCTTGCCCTCTCCTTTCTTCAGATCAGCCTTCCTGTTAGCTTCAGCCTTCATGGTGCTGGTGACACGTGGAATGACGCGGCGGCCCTGTGGAGTGGGCAAAGTCTCCTTTTTCACCTTTACTGCTTTGCCTTTTCCAGTTTTTACAGGAAGGGTGGCATTTTCCTTTTCCTTTGCCTCAACCCGCTAAACACAAGAAGAAGAAAAATACATCACAAGTTTGACCAGGAGCAAAAGCACCGATCACAGTTGTTCTTTAGATATAACATTATCACAATCTGATCACATGACTAACAAAGTGCACCGATTGGATATAAAGCAGAAAAAGGAAAAGAAAAGAGGAAGACAGAAAAGATCCAGTACCCCCAGTTCCTCAGAGAAGGCAGCAAGGTCCTCCCTCCACAGGTCTGCTGGACTCTTTTTCTTTAGGGTGTTTAGCTCTGTCACCTGTACAAGAGTTAGGACAGAAACACACGACCTTAACACAGGAGCTAATAATCTACCATTTCAAGCTTAAAGCATCACTAAGTTTGCCGCATAGCTCACCTTAGCATCCCTCTGTTTGCACAGCTCCTCCTTTTTCTCTTTTGTCAAGAACCACATGGGCATGCTCAGCAGATAATTGTAGTCCGGTCCAGTCGAGTCGTCTTTTTCTCCTCCTTCCCCCTCCTCCTCCTCCTCCATCTCCTCCTCATTCTAAGAGAGTTCACACAGATGGTTATTTAACATCCCTCTCTGTTGTAGCTGAACTTTGTTGGAACTGTCGGAATCAGAGTGTCCCACCTTCTCCTGAGCCTGTTTCCAAGTCTTGACTGGGTCGGAGTCATAGCCCATCTGTTGGAGCATGCGGATCAGCTCCTTCTTTGGCTTGTTCTCTGCACACACACGGACAGCATTAATACTAATCAAGGAACAACCAAACTAACTATGAATAACTATATCAG